TTCGTACTCAAATGCAAATCCTTCATCTTGAAGGACAACTTTGCTCCTAGTCAGAAGGAGAAAAAAGTTTCAAGATATGCATATTTTAATTCCTGAACTTAAACGAGAAAATAATAAAACTTTGCCGTGATTTTCATCTAAGTGTATCGAGTTTGAAATTCAGAGTAGCAAGCTGAATTGCAAGTTGAGAAGCGCCAGGTACCGCGTTTCCCTGACGCTTCGAGACGGAAGGGAATATGTGCTGTTGGCAGGAAAGAAGAACGAGCAAGTCGATGAAAATGACACGCTTTCGTTTTATTCCTTAATTAATTCGGCATAAGACATGTATTTCCATGTAATAAATTGTTCAGAAATAGGAATTTTACGGCAGAAGTGTTGATTCGCCCATTTGCTCTACCACTTACACTACCAAGATAATGGAAACAGCATATTGCTGTTCGATTCCTGATCAGGGCAGCGACATTTTTGAACAGCTCAAATATTATTTTTCATAATTACACCTGCTTAGTGACTTTTGAGTCTGATTAGTGGTAGGCATTTACGAAATAGGTAACCTATTCTTTAATTCAAGACAATAACAGTAAATCATGCGTCTTTCACAGTACTCTAGAACATAGGACAGTTTTCCAGGAATAATCTAGGAATTTCGAAAACGTTTTATAAATACACCTTAACCAAAATAATGGTAAATATGTAAACACAAACGTCGATCATGTTTCTGTATTGATGTACAAACATTCATTGTTTCGGGAATATTCTATCTTATGGAATTATTCCGAAAATATACTTTCGACACTACACACCATAAAAAATAGAATAAAGCTACGTGTAATGCGAAAAAACAACCCAAAATTACTAGGGCCATTTCTATCTCTTCATTCACGAAACTAATATTATTCTTATCATCTCAAAGGCTACTATTATTATTCGAGTCATACCTGCTCCACATCCTCCAAAGTTAGGGTCATTGGCAGCTTTCTAGTTTGTGTCGCCAGAAGTTCGCTGCAGTCGTGAATATAGATAGATGTCCGTATCTCGGAGAAGATGCACTACCTTTGCACGGAGCAGAGACATTCCAACACCCGCCACGCCAGCACACTTCTCCCTCGGCTCACGGACAATGCAGAGAGGGGCGGGAGGAGGATGGAAGGGGAGGAAGGGGAAGGGTGGAGGGGCAGAGAGACGGGTGGGGCAGGCGGTCGCGACACTTTGAAGCCGCTCAGCAAGGCGCGTTATGGCGCCACGTAAATTAAACAGCGCCTCCAACCTCCCCGACGAAATAATGATTATAGTCCAGGGAGGCGACGGAGACGGCACAAGTTCCCCGCGAGCACGGGCGAAGAGAGTGGACCGGTTGTTCCTTTGAACACTCGAGCATTTACGCCGCTTTGTCGAGTCGCATTCGATAAATTACCGAGTGTTATTACCGAGTTAAGCCTTTCACCTTGTATCAATTTTGCTCGGGAGGGCGCGACGAAGAAGCCTCTCGCTGGCAGAGCCTAGCGTCGCGCTCGACAGTACTGCCGAATTTAAAATTTAAATGAAGACATAAGAATGTTTCCCCGGCCGGGATTTACATATTCATCGGCGGCGATCTCCCCGTGTGACGTAATTGCCAATCGCTCCAAGCTGCGAACGGATCTTTAGGAAATTGAAAAGATCAAATGAGTCCTCGTGGCGTTTGGAGGGCGCGGATAATTCAATAGAGCTTAAGCACCGCCTTCTCCTTACGACTTGCGGGCGGGGGAGGGGGAGGGGGATGAGGAGCGGTGGAGTTGCTGAGGATCGCGAGAGGCTGTGAAGCTGTGACGACAGCTGCAGCGGCGGAGGCGAAAGACGATGGAGGAGGAGAAGTGGGGCAACGCGGAGTTACACCGGCGGCGACGGACACAAGAGAAGTTCACGAAAGTATTGAAACGATGTAACGGAGGTTTTCATATATGGTTTCCTGTTTGACGGTGATTTTGATGGTCAGGTTTCACAATTTGAAGACAGGACCAACACACGACGCAACACAGTAGAGATTTGTGGCCTCATTTGACAAACATGTTTCTTCCCCGTCATTTGTCACTTGCCCTCCATTGTGGTAAGTCTATTTAGAATTTGTAATGTGCATGCTGTTATTTTTAACAGAAGAGTTCTATTAATCACATCGTGTTAAAAACGTCTTTCGCCTATTAAAATAGGCAATTTCACCTAGGCAATTTCACCTATTAAAATCTAGATCAAAATATTTCGACTCAAAAAATAAAAGGCAAAAAGATTTCAGAAATTATGTAGTTTTCAAATTTTTGTGTTTTATGGTTGATAAATAAATTTAGTTTTCATGGTTTCCACTTCATTGAGTGAAGTAATTGGTACACACTACTTTAATACAAAAATAACCTACCAAGTGGAAAAAATATTACAACTATAATGTAAAATTATTTTCAATATTTAACTACTCAGTTTTATTCTGCTTTGATTGTTTGTCTATCAATTCGCAGAATTGATGTCATCAAAATCGCTGTGGCAGTGATAAAAATGAGAGAATTGTGAATGAGAGCATGCGAGGAGGTGAGAGCAGTGGCCGAGTTGTGAAGGTGGAAGGGGGTGGAGTTGAGCCAATTACACAGGAGGGAAGCAACGACGAGAAGTGACGGGTTACAACTGGACGGGAGAGAAAGAAGCGAGACAGCAGCAGTAGCTGTTTCAGATAAGTGGAGACTTCTCCATTTAATGGCCCCTAAAAGGTTCCCTTTTGCCCCCTTGGGATAGTGTAAAGAAATGGCTGGGGAACGGACACGAAAAGGTTATGGAGAGCAATCAGGAATGCGGCATAGGAAGAAATCACCTAATGCAGCTGTGAATAACCAAACCTTCGTAGACAAAGAGGCCCGGTTCAAAAGGAGAAAAAGAGGTTCGGGTCGCTTCGGAAGCAGATTGTTGACTTAAGTAAATAGTTGAGTCGGACTACGCCACAGTCTGTATAAAAAATCTGGAAGAGCATGCTCTTACAATTTTTATTTTCTTTATTACCTGCATTATATTTGTTAGATGTATTGACATGTGCGTCTTTATAGCGAATAAGGCAGAATAAACAATACAATTCAGTAGCGAAACGACGTCTGAATAGGGATTCGTAATGATCTCAGACTTCAAGATGTAATGACATTTTGCTGAATTCACGTGGTGCACACATGATGAAGCAACGTTGTTATATTTTCAGTTACAAATAATTATTATTTCTAATAATGCATTTCCCAGCGGACGCTAAAGAAGTGAAGTGCAAACCACGCGAAACTTACATCTCACTCTTGTTCTTAATTGTACCCTCAGGACAATAAATTCATCCGACGTTATGTACCTTCTAACGAACGCATTCATGAAGATGTCAGCCGGATATGAGGCGAAGTCTCGGATTGAAGAAAATGGTTTCTCCAACACTTACGTGATCACAGTTTAACTATATTGAGAAGGAATACACTGACATGAAGTTTTGTCCTCTGGTTTGTATTTCTCACGCAATCATACTAACCGCGAGTCATACTTAAGGGAACAAATTTTCACTTTTTAGGTTTAACAAAAACGTGCACCGTAAAGCGCGCAGGTGTTTTGGATACAGTGAATGACGAACTCATATCTAGACTAAAATGAGAAGCCGAAGGTTTCAATTGCGTCAGTGTTACCCGAACGAGTGTTACAAGAGCTCACCCCGAGGTGCATGCCGACCACAGAGACGTCATCCATAGTGCCTGTGAGAGAACAAGTGACTGTGATGGAACAAGTGCCTGTACTTGTGATGACAGTGTTCCTCCCACGCTGGATGCAGGATCCGGTGCCATACAGATCAACTTTCGAGTTTTTCCTCTCCAAGTATTCCCCAGAGGAACAGCGCCTCAGTCGGCACAAACTCTACGTTTACGACTGGTCTATCCACACCTCTCCTGTAATGGGTGAGAGTAAACATGTTTGTTTTTGTAAATCATAAAAACTTAATGTATTTTTGTGTTTTACGTTCTGTTCAAGAAACGGATACACTGACTTCGAAAACGGTAATTATAAATACCATTATAAATAAATCAGGCATTAAAAATACACCATTACAAATAAAAGAGAAATTCTTGAAAAGTTTTTTTAGAAACCTTTTCTTCGTTTACAGTATTGTATCGCACGAATATGAAAATTTCCGTGATGAAGTATTAGCAATTCAGAAATATGTTACAAATCACACAAAAACTAAATAACACTGCAATAAGCAAATTATTTTCTTCATTACGCCAAAGAATTAAAACAAACAGCCATACATTAAAACATGACACAATATAAAACATACAAGCAAAATAAAAGTAACAAAATACTGATTATTCAGTATGACCAAACTTTCATCTTTCAAAACAATAATACATACATAAATTAATATTAAATTTATTTTAGTTTCTACAAAAATCTTGAAAATGTATGAGCCGAGTAATAATTCCATCTAAATTGTTTATCTCTTAATGACCCCTTTTCGGGTTGGCTTATATAAAAAACAAAATTTTCACGTTCTCAGCTTTAATTAAATCTTCAAATACACGACGTTTCCACAGTTTTGATATATTGTCATCTCCGGGATAGGAAATAAATTTTTTAGCATAATCAATTGCACAAAATACTACATATATTCTTTAAGAAATACAAATTACATCTTAGTGACCTCCTTTTAAATCCTAACGTGCACAAATTAAATGTTATATTTACATTACATATAGAAAAGAGTAATACACTGGAGTAGAAGATAGTAAAGAACGGACTCATCGTTGATGAAGTGTATAAACAGCGAGGCGGGTTTCATCGGTGGACGCAGGTTTAGTTGCTTAGACTGGAGACGTAAGCACTTCGACGAGGCGCATTAAAAGGTGCCATTTTCGAATATTGGCGCAGAAACCTCCTAATCGTGGAGAGACGAGATTTCTAAACTCTTTGAGATAGTACGTGCGGTCAGATTCACAATTGGCGGCGCACCAAAAATGTTACTGCTAACTGTTACTGCGAATGTTACTGCGCACATAGAAGATGAGCAATACCCACATGCTAAGTCGCACGTAGCGTTTATGTCGTGCATGAAGACAAAAAATGAGAACACTAAAGCGTATAAATTTAGAAATAACAAAACTGAATGGAATGTAATAGGGTGTTGTTTAATCTCCCAAAACAAAACCTGTAAATACCTTTTTGCGTGTTTTCTGGATTCTTCAGTGAGATCTTTTAAGTATTCAAACAGTCATTGTGAAAAATGAATTCCAAAAGTACTGAAGTGGGATTTGATGCGGTGAGAGTAAGTGCAGAAAAACACTACATTGATAACGTGCACGAAAACTCAAACGAGGAGAAGCGCAAACAAATTCAAGCACACACATCATAAGAGCGTAGCCTTTGCATTCAAAGCCATGCGATGTTACAGAACAGCGTAATTTATATACGTGCACGAAGACGTATATCAGGATGCCATATATTACTTTAATTTCAGAAATGAAATTTGAATTACATATCCTTATGAACGTTGCGTAAACAGCCTTGCAAACCACCGAAAAGTATTAGCGATCGTTCGGTGGAACTCACCAGTAGTTGCCCTTGCCGGCGTCTTGTATGGCGACCAAGGAGCCATTCAAAACCAAGTTTCAAACGTAGTGAAAATATTTCGGGTGTTGGGAACGACACACCATTGATGACGTGCACGAAGACCAAAATGAGGATATCATGCATAAATTTAATTTCACAAACTAAATTAGAATCGTAAATCTTCGTAGCACGTTCCTTGCATTAACAGTCATGCAAAGAACCAGCAAAATGTCTACGTGGACGTGCGACGGGGCTCACCGGTTGCCGTATGGCAGTAGTCGCTCTCGACGGCGACACATACGGCCACCAAATCGCCATTTAAAACCAGGCAACAAGTTCCAAATGAAGAGAAAAGATTTCGGTTGGGGAGGCAGGAAAGACTACCGTTGATGACGTGCACAAGGCCCAAAATGAGGATATCATGCATAATTTTAATTTCACTAAATTAGACTCGTAAATCTTCGTAGCATGTCCTTTGCATTGACATTAATACAGAGAATCAGTGAACAGTGCGGACATGTGGCGGGACTCACCGGTCACCGTATGTCAGTAGTCGCCTCCTCCGACGACACATATGGCCACAAAATCGCCATTCAAAACCAAAAGAAGAGAAAAGATTCCGGCCGGGGAGACTCACCGTTGATGACGTGCACGAAGACGGAGGCGGGCTCCGCCAGCGTGGGCACGCACGTGTAGTTGCCCGAGTCGCCGAGGCCTGCGCAGCGCCTTCGAGCGCAGTGGACGACAGCTGGCCCGCCACTCGTGTGGATGGCGACGCGCGGCGGCGCGCGGCGGGCCGGGGCGCGCCGCGGCCGCCGCTGCCGCCCGCGTGCGGCGGGGGCGGGGCGGTCCGCGTCCACCCATCTCCCCCGCCGCCGGTACCAGAAATGGCTGCCGAGTCTGCGCCTGGCTGATGACGCACGTCAGCTGCACCAGCGACCCCGCCTTCACGTACAGGTCCGCGGGGCCCAGCACGCGCGCCTTCGCCTCTGCGAACGGAAATGGGTCACGAACGGTCAGAACTGTCCTCAGTTCCCGATAGATAACTACTAACTAGGAATGCGACAGCAATATCGATATTTTCAGAACATCGATATTTCTACATGAAACATTTATGAACATTTTACAGAAAACATTCATGTATTTAACATCGATTTACTGAAATTGTTAAGTGTTCTTTTAAGATCGTTGTTTTGTGCGCCCTTTTTAACATATTGTTTTTATGTCAAAAAATAATCTTTTTTAGTTATCCTTAACTTAAACTTTCTTCAGACTAAAATCACCAAGAGTGAAAAAAAGTTAGTTGAAAAATGTAGGGTATTATCATTGTATTATACATTATAGTTTTTGTGAATTGTTCGGATAATTTTTGTAACTTAGCTTTCTCAGCTAAATTTCAATGAAAAATTAACAAACACTGCCACCTTGACAAGAAATTGTTTCCCCTCCTCGCATGTGATCATTGATGTTGGAAGTTACTGAAATACTTTTACAAACATCGATGTTTCGGAGATTGTTCGACGATCGCCTTGCGCCGATGGAGTTTGAACATCGTTGTTTTTAAAATTTGAACATCGCTCTTCCGAAACATCTATATTTCGTTGAAGTATCTCTAGTGCAGTGTAGACACTACATGACAGTATAGACAGTACAACTGAAAAAGAAGGAAGAACATCGAATTGGTCGGCAAGATCAACACCTTGTCACAATTTTTATGTTTTGATAAAGTTATTTTTTTAATTAGGTAACATTCAAGGCTACATTGCCCGGGGTGTAGAATTCTGGCTTTCGTCTATGAAAACGCAATGAAGGAACAAGATAACACTTGGGAAGTTTGTCACAAGTTCATAATATGCATCTTAGGTCTTCAACAACTAACTATGCTCTAGTATGAACGGTACATGTGCCTACAAAAGAACGGGAACACGGTGCCGACACGATCAGAGCCGTAGCAACATTTGCTTGCGCGGAAACTTGTTACGGCAATGATCATTGCTGATGGTTTAATTAATCACAAAATTATTCTAACGCATCACTGCCATAAAACCAAATACACTATCAATATTATCTCTTGCGTTTGGACCTTTAAAACCAGTCAGATGGGAGCCTTGTGACAGACAGTTACAAGTTTACAGTTTTCAAAACTTGTAAAAAGAACAATATATTATTTTGAAATATATTTGTGGCTAGTTGATTGGGTGTTTTTGCAGATCTCTTGGGGTTTAAATTAAAACTCCCTGTTATCTTATCACAAATTGACTAAAAGAAGAGAATCGACTAAGGGAGTATGTCTGTTATTTTCTGAGTTTTAGGGCTGGCATCGCTCACGTCAAGACACTTTCTTTTAACTTGCCCTTTTGACGAGTTCTGGCTTTCGGCCAATTCTGGCAAAAAAAATTGACCTGAAGGGAGTTGTCATAACAGTGGCGGGCCTTGTAAAAAATCCATTGCAAAGAGGTTTTCAAATGTCGCTTGGAAATACAAAAATAAAAAAATTCTATGTTTAAAATGTTGACAGATTTTGTGACTTATCCTGTGATTAGTGAAATCTACAAGAAATATATAAACTAAGTTACATCATTTTTTTACGTCTCTTCATTAATTTATGAATGTGTGTGCTGAAACAATTGTTGACAAATTATAGTAAATATAGCATATGATCACAATTGCAATTCTAAAACGTACACTATGGAAATTTAAACTATGTAAGTGCGGCAACATAACGTAGTAATAATCGTAATTATGTCTGGATTATTAAGAACTAAACAACCTTTTTTGTTGTAGCGAGTTTTTATAATTAAATGTTGAATATTCTGGCCAAACGTTCGCCTTTGTGATTATTTTCACGCATAAGAAAACCACTGAATAATATTGTACCACAACTGCTGTGTAGTTAGAATGTTTAATACAAAAAAGAAATATTATGTTGTACAATGAAATGAACTGCGAAAATATTGTACCAAGTATATTGTGACACCACACGTTGCAATCCATTTGAGGCGAATAACTTGCTTAATCAGCAGGCGTCAAAAAGTATTTTTTTTCTTTTTCAGATGTTTCAGATACATTTAAATGGCTGAGTAGAAGCACTAACAAAATATGCCGTGTGAGCTCTAGGATGGCTCCCGATATTCGAAGGTGCATGCAACTCAATTTCATATACCAATTTCAATCCCACAAAAACACAAACAAAGATTTTCACGCTCAGAATTCTCACCCCCCCCTACCCAGAAAAAAAGGTAGCTCCCAACTCCCTTGGTCAAACAATTTCACACCCATAAAATATCTGGGAGTACTAATAGACAGATCCTTCAGCTGAAAGCTACACATTACGTCCGCCCTACAAACAGCAACGGCAAAAGCTGTCAAACTATATCCATTTATCAATTTTGAATTCTCTTTAAAAGTTGGAAACAAAGTGCCTTTCTACAAGAATATAATTAGATCCACGATGACATATACCTGTTCAGCCTGCATAAATGTTGCTTCGAGAAACATAAACTTGTTACAATCATTCCAAAACAAATTTCTGCAAAAACTCATTAACAATCATGGTTTATACCCAATAGACAAATTCATTATGAACTCCAAATGCCATTAATAACATACTATCTGATCAACTTATCCTCGAAATTTTTCACTCTCTTAGCATCCTGCCAAAGTATACCCATTTTCAACTAGGACAACAAGCAAACACTCAAACAGAATTAAATCCAGACTCCCCCAAAGACATTTTCAAACCGCCTTAAAAAACACAACTCATCTAAAAGATTCCAAATCCTTAGAACTCGACTATTATATTCCTTCGCTAAATCATTAACCAGAATTATTATAATCTAAATAAGAAGTTTATAATTAACATGCTGAGTAAGAATACTCGAAATAATATTAAGAAGTCTTCCATTACGTTAATGTAAATATGTTTTTCTCACTTCTGTAAGGTCATTTGGCCGATCGGATAAAATGAATTTCAAAAATAATATTATCGAACAACTCGGAGATTTCCAGTGTGGCGTAGCTCATCATATCCTTTGACATTTAATTTTATATGAGAATGATGAAACGATCTCATTCGTCAGGTTATTGGCACAGTGAAAATCGGTACAGCAATACAGCATTGTAAACGTTCGTATCTGTCTAATTTCCAAATCTGCAGATTTGTCGGCATTAGTTCATTAGCCAATTGATTCAAATATCTCGATTGTCATATACATGGATGTAATGCAAATCCGCAGACAACTTTCAAAACCACGAACTATGCATATGGGTGAAGGAAAGCGATGAATGCTATTAATATACATTGTCAACTCAAACAGATTGCAACCATGCATTTTGATTTGCGTGAATTGACATCTGAGTATCAATAAATTCCAGAGCTTCAATTATTTTAATTCATTCGGCCGTCGTTAACACTACAGCTCTTGACATTAATGCCAAATTCTAGGAAAAAGATAATGTTTAGAAACCTCTTTTGAAAATTAAAAACTGAATGTATGTTAGGCATATACTCGATTCTTTTTAAAATTGATTTACTATTCAAAGCGATTTAACTTGCAAATTGAAATTTTAGTTTTCCTAACTGAAGTACGTGCTTTATAATAGACTCAACAGCGAAATTTTACGTTTGATATATTTATAATACTAAGGTCAAGATTTGTTTAAAAAAGAACATTGGAGAAATTTATATCAATTTAGACGACTCCTCCGTATATTGATTTGCAAAGCGTTTATCACTGCATATAACTTTAAATGTTATTTACCTATTTTATATTTTATACATCTAATAATATTCAATAAATATTTTCATTAATATATTCATTTTTACACATCTTAGACGATCTTGTCATTGATTAATTTATTAATGTCTGTGGATTCATTGCCAAGGTGAAACCTCTCGCGAAATTGATGCATATTCCTAGGCAAATTGTGTTATCAGAAAGCAATCGGCTGAAGGCCAAATCTACAAACAAAACAATTCAGAAAGCATTCTTCAAGTAGCCATGGTTATTTAAACAATTTTGGTACTATATTACAGTAAATTGATAATAACAATTTGGTATACATTTAGGCAGAGGATCAATTGAACTACTAGTTCAATATAATGTCTCATGCCGCTTCAACTACAATTCATTGCACCAATGACGAAGACTATAAACATAAAAATTCAAGTGGGTGTACTAATCGGACTCTCTCAGCAGTTTAAGATATTAGCAAGTAAGAATAGAAGAAAAATATACAGCGCACCTATCAAATATGAATAGAAAAGCCGACCGTCTCTGTCTCGGGTGACTGGGATCAATCTCCTCGGCCACATATCAATTCCACTCTTTCCGACTCGCTTCGAAAACAACTCTCAACACGAACTGTTTGCCCACATACTGAGAGAATTCAGTAAATGGCGAATTCCCTTACAAATGAGAGCGCAACAACGCACGCACGAGTGTGCATTCGAGGCGAGGAAACACCTATTCCAAGGCCCTCTGGAAACGCTATGAGCGAATCCACGGCCCCCTGCCAGCGGCGCGCGTCGAGGTGTCAGGCGACTCTGCGACGCCGGCGCTCCTGGCGGGCACGATCGAATTAATCCGAAGGGCACATTAACGAGCGCGGGGAGGCGACTTGCGGCAGGCTGGAAGTGGAAACAGGAGCGAGGAAGGTGGATCCTACCGCGTGGGTGGTATGGAACGGCGGCGGCAGGCCTATGACGAAAGAAGGTTGGTGGGGAAGTGGTGGGGAGAGTGCCAGGGTGAGCAACGCGGATATGAGTGACGGAGATGAGCGACGGGGGTGAGCGACGGGGGTGAGCGACGGGGGTGAGCGACGGGGGTGAGCGACGGGGGTGAGCGACGGAGGTGAGCGACGTGTGAGCGACGGAGATGAGAGACGGAGGTGAGTGATGGAGGTGAGCGAGGGAGGTGAGAGGTAGAGGTGAGCGGCGGTGTTGAGCGAGGGAGGTGAGCGAGAGAGATGAGCAAGGGAGGTGAGCGAGGGAGGTGATCGACGTAACTGAGCGAAGGATGTGAGTGATGGAGGTGAGCAACGGATATGAGCGATGGAGGTGAGCAACGGAGGTGAGCGACGGAGGTGAAAGATGGTGAGTGATGGAGGTGAGCGACGGAGGTGAGCGACGGAGCTGAGCGAAGGATGTGAGTGACGGAGGTGAGCAACGGATATGAGCGATGGAGGTGAGCAACGGAGGTGAGCGACGGAGATGAGAGACGGAGGTGAGTGATGGAGGTGAGCGATGGAAGTGAGCAACGGAAGTGAGCGACGGAGGTGAGCGAGGGAGGTGAGCGATGGAGGTGAGCAACGGAAGTGAGCGACGGAGGTGAGCGAGGGAGGTGAGAGACGGAGGTGGGCGGCGGAGGCGGCACAGAACGCACGGGTGAAGGTTGCGACAAGGTGAAGGTGGCTGAGGGGCGGAGAGAGCGGTGGGACGGCGGGGGCGGAGGGGAGCGGAGGGAGCGGAGGGGGAGAAGGAGCGGGCGCACTGGGGTGCAGTCGGAGGCGCTGACGACGGGGTAGGGTGAGCGGAGTCGGCTGCCTGAGCATGGAGGAGGTGCTGAAATGGTCGACGAGGCAGAGGGGAAGGGGTGTTTGGTTGGGTCGAGGGCACACGGAAGGGGAAGGGAGGGATGTGTCAATCTCAAATCGAGTTACTCTCGCGGCTGCGCGTGGATCTAAACACGGGGTGGGAAAGACTAACTTTTCATGTTAGGTGGGTTGCGGCAGAGAACTTGCAATTGGAGGGGAGGAACGGAAGACGGCGAGAAGGGCGGGGGAAACTCCGATGGAGGGAAAAAAGAAATGAGTGAGAAAGAAGTAACATGAAAACGAGAAGTAACAATTTTTGAAAACTAACGAACAAAAATAGAAAGAAACATACACTGAGTTTGCATCAACCATTAATGAAATACGCCAAAAAAAAGATGGTAAATAAAAAGAAGTTTAAGTTATAATTGGTGAAAAGAGTATGAATTCGAAATTATAATA